ACAATTCTAACTTTACATAAAATAATACAAAATTGAACAAAAAACTAAGAAAGGAAAACAAAAGGAAGAAAAGAAAAGAAAAAAGGCTTCATATTTTTTTTTTCTATTTTTTTTTTTCCTTATTGGTGTTTTGTTTTTGTTTTGGTTTTAGTTTTGATTTCTTTTTCTAGAATTAAATGATAATTTGTAATCTTTTCAAACAAAATATTGACTTTTTAAAATGTAAAATAACTTGTGAAGAAAAATGTTAAAATATTTTTTGTATCCATATTTTGCTTTTTTTACTTGTAAATAATTAGACCAAAATCCTGAACTGCTTCCAACCTATAAATTGGGATTTGAGAACGACTATATTTTGGCATAAAAAGAATTGCTTTTGTGGTGTTGATGGGACTTCTGAGAATTTGAAGTAGAAGAAGGTTTTAACCGATTCTTTTGAACTGTAAAACGGTAAGGGTTTTGCTAGGTTTTGAACCTAAGATTTACTAGTCATGGTAACTTGACTGACGTAAGAAAAGAAGGGAAAAGAGAGAACAAGATGGAGAGAATATCAATTTATTTCATAGATCAATGTTAACCTTTATTTGATCTAATTGGGCTTGTATTGTTAGTGGGCTAGCCCAAAGCCCTTGTAGTTTGAGTCTATATGCAGTGGTATCTCTGCATTTGGAAATGATGGATGAATTAGGTAAATTGAATTGTGTCTTCTTTCTTCCTCCTGACTTCTTCTTCTCCGGTCTTCTTCTCGATTTCTCCAGCTTCCTCCTCTTCTCGGTACTTCTTCTCCTTCCTGTTGTCTTCCTTCTCCTGCTGTCTTCCTTCTTCTGCTGTCTCGGTAGTTCTTGGTTGGTTGAATTCGTTTAATTAAAAACTATTTTTGCAGTACCCCTATCGTTTGGCGGTCCTGTGACATTGGCAACTATTGTTGCCATTTTGACGTTCTTAACATTATTTCAACTTTTTACTGCGAAAATCACTATTTCTTTTCATTGCCATTTATCTGACTATTAAAAAGTTAAAATAACAAGAAACTACAACAATTCTAACTTTACATAAAATAATACAAAATTGAACAAAAAACTAAGAAAGGAAAACAAAAGGAAGAAAAGAAAAGAAAAAAGGCTTCATATTTTTTTTTTCTATTTTTTTTTTTCCTTATTGGTGTTTTGTTTTTGTTTTGGTTTTAGTTTTGATTTCTTTTTCTAGAATTAAACGATAATTTGTAATCTTTTCAAACAAAATATTGACTTTTTTAAATGTAAAATAATTTGTGAAGAAAAATGTTAAAATATTTTTTGTATCCATATTTTGCTTTTTTTACTTGTAAATAATTAGACCAAAATCCTGAACTGCTTCCAACCTATAAATTGGGATTTGAGAACGACCATATTTTGGCATAAAAAGAATTGCTTTTGTGGTGTTGATGGGACTTCTGAGCATTTGAAGTAGAAGAAGGTTTTAACCGATTCTTTTGAACTGTAAAACGGTAAGGGTTTTGCCAGGTTTTGAACCTAAGATTTACTAGTCATGGTAACTTGACTGACGTAAGAAAAGAAGGGAAAAGAAAGAACAAGATGGAGAGAATAGCAATTTATTTCATAGATCAATGTTATGAATTATATATATATATATATATATAAACTCAATTATGAGTAAGAAAATACTATAAAAATTAACAAATCAAATTCTAATAATTTTTTCCTAAAATGCGCATCCAAATTAAAAACCACATATAATAGTATCTCTTCTAATACTCCATAATTTCTCCCCGACTAAGAGAACTCGACTCCTAAGAGATAGACTACAACTCCTTAACTAATGAGGGCAATTTTTCTTCTTGACCAAATAACAAAACCAATTATATGATGACAACTAAAATAGAATATCATCCCAAACATCAGCGCTGAGGAACAATCTTTCTTTTTGATCAAGTAGCAATAACGAACCATATCAAGAAACAACATGTGCAACTCATAGACAAAAGTTACGATGAAATCTACGTGCGTAGCACAATGCACTAGCGCGGTAGACTGACCTACAAAAGCAAAGGACTGCAATACTATGGCTCAAATGCATCCCAATAAGGAAACAATCCTGCTATATTGAAAATAAAATATCATTAAGTGTAAGACCAGTTAAATAAATTAAATTCAAGTGAATGATCCAACTTTTCGTTATATATTTTGAAAATTGTGCTAAAGAAACACGTAATAAGACATAAAAAAAATTACCATGAAAGTATATGTGCCTAAATTGTATGTAAAATGTAAGCTCAAAAACTTCATGATGGAAAACAAATTATCATTTAAACTCGGCATGAAAAACAACAAAATACGGGGTTAAAACAATATGATGATAATTAGTAGGTAACAACCGAATGTCAATGGAAAAAAATATATGACCGAACAATGACCTTGTAACACGTGTCAACGTAGGAGAGTATCATACCATGGAGGGAAAGTCAAATTAAAGGCAACATTAGATTCGCACAAAAGATTAGGCAAGAATGACTTCGGAATGAAATCGAGGACATGCAGGCTAGTTAGCCTAGGTGGAAACACAATAGATAATTCATCATCATCGCTGCCAAAATAATCATTTGACTCAAAAATAGAAACCTCGATTTCTTCCTCAAGGGAACACAATTAGATTCAGAATGTGGCTGTCGGGACTTGGATGGTAGACCGAGCTTATGACATGCTTGGCGAAGAAGGAATGATATGTTCCATAGCTTGGCATGTCGGTAAGTGTCATCTAAGGATTGAATTGCAAGAATATGACTAGAAAAATTTTAAGATTCAAACCATCGATAAACATAAATGATGTGATGTGGGGAGCTTCATAAATATAACAAATATGCAATACCTCTGCGAAGTGGGCTGGATATGCACTAACAGTGAACGTACCTTGTCTACAGTTCAAAAAGTATTGATTTAACAATTGAGTTCGATAAAATACAAGGGTATATTTATTACTTAGGATTCATTCTCATCCCACGAGGTAACGGTACGCTAACCTAGGTTATCAATGTTACGCACAAAGGACTCTCAATAACATCTAGTAAACCCGTTAAGTGCCTATTAGCATGACAAAGACAATGAGAATCACTTAAGTTGTGAAAGTCTAAGAATTTTTCAGGAGAATCGAGTCAATCAAGAAATGAGTTGGTTCCAGTGAGAACATCAGAGTTTTATAGGTGGATCACTACGTGCCTAGAAGGAGAATGTACATCCCCATCAAAATTCTTGGACAAAGGATAATGGTGTGGATAAGTGCTACGGGAAGATACGTGATCATAATAGTGACATAAGGACATAAAGTAGCTACAAGAACTGTTATATGAATTATATGTAGTGTTATAGCACATTTTTATATATATATATGAGGTTTGACGCCACAAACACCTACGTAAACAATAGAGCTTTCAAAATGC